CCTGACCTACCACTGGCAGTGCTACCCCCTGGAGGGGTCAAAGATTGCCACTGGTCGGTCGGGCCGCACTTGGGCCGGTTTGCCCCAGACATCCGACACCTTGGCTTCCTCGTAGCGTGGGGCTCCCGCGGGCCGCTGCCCAGGATGCGAATAGGATGTCGACTACAGAATTGATTCACCCCAAATTTGACCTTTTCGTCGGGCCTGCGAACAATACGTGGAATGCCCTGTAGATCTGCGGAGCGTTCGACCCCTCTTCGTAGGCCCGACCATCCGCTTGCCCCCTTGTGGGGCCACCAGGCTGTAGGGCCAGGGTTTGCTGTTCCCTGCACCGGTTCCCGTTTCCAGTTTCCACTGTTTCTATTTCTGCTTCTATTTCCGCGCGAGGGGGGGGAGCCGCAAACCGCCATTTTTACCACGCCCAGATCGCGTGCTCAGAATTTCTGAGGGGGGTCAAATTTGACACCCCTCACACAGATCGGCGGGGTCAAGGTCCAAAACACGCGGGACTTACGTTTCTAAAATTCGGTGGCACCCCTCACGCAGATCGGCGGGGTCAGGGTCCAAAAACACAGAGAATTTGCTACATGTCTGAAATTCGGTGGCACCCCTCAAGCAGATCGGCGGGGTCTGGGTCCAAAAACACAAGGGATTTGCTACATTTCCGAAATTCGGTGGCACCCCTCACGCAGATCGGCGGGATCAGGGTCAAAAAAAGTAGGGAGTTGCAATATGTTTGACATTCGGTGGCACCCCTCACACAGATCGGCGGGGTCAGGGACCAAAAACACAAAGGACTTGGTACATTTCTGAAATTCGGTGGCACCCCTCACGCAGATTGGCGGGGCCAGGGTCGATAAACACAAAGGATTTGCCACATCTCACGCAGATCGGCGGGGTCAGGGTCGAAAAGCATGTGGGATGTGTCACATGTCTTAGAATTCGGTGGCCCCCGTCACGCAGATCGGCGGGGTCAGGGTCTCAAAACACAAAGGATTTGCTACATTTCTGAAATTCGGTGGCACCCCTCATGCAGATCGGCGGGGTCAGGGTCGATAAACACATGGGATTTGCCACATGTCTTGAAATTCGGTGGCACTCCTCATGCAGATCGGTGGGGTCAGGATCAAAAAACATGGGATCTGCAACATGTCAATACTTCGTAGAAGAGCTTTTTGCATAGCCCACGCGAGCAAGCTCGAAATGCAACACCGAACTCAACAATATCATCAGAATCTCAATGTGTCTTGCCGATTACTCACCGTCTTCGCGTGAAGTCCCGACGCTGCTTCACGGCGGCGCCAAAGCCTCATGCTTTCGCTCTTGCATTGCCCATTATCCGAGAGGGGGCCGGCGGCAGGGGGCGAAGCACTTACGGAGAATATCAAGTTTGGGGTGAATTGATTCTGTCATCGATCTCCTACTCGAAGGATCAGCTTCTCGTCCTGAGTCCTTCTCCAAGGGCCCCAGGGCCCAGCAAAGGCCCCGAGGGGCCGACAACTATCAAAAGCCTGCCATCGAAATTCCTGCATGACCATGACCCCGAGGGGTCCGTGGAGGCATCCACCATAGGGTCCGAGTAGATGGGGCACGAGGATCCATGCATCTGCGATGCACCTGCGAAACCGCCGAATCGAGCCGCACCGCCGAATCATCGGCGATGCGGAGCGATCCTCCGACCCAATCTACTCCGACCCCATTTGCGAGGCATGGAGTCTTGGGCTGAAGGGGGACGATAGGGGGGGCCAGCTCAGGGGGAAAACATCGAGCGTGAATCGGTGATACACCGCCGATAGACTCTGGCGATAGGCCCCCGATCGCAGAGCCAGGCGTTCCTGGACGGGGAGGGCGTTATATCCGGCCACTACTGATGGGCCTGTTTTCCACCACCACCACCACCATAAGTTGGAGGGGGGGCAGTCCTCCTCCTCCTCCTCCTCCTCCTCCTCCTCCACATCCTCCTCTTCCTCCTTCTCGTCCTCCTTCCTCCTCCTCCATCTCGTCCTCCTCCCCCCGCCCCCCTCCAGCCTACATGTGGTGGTGGAAAACAGGCTCATCAACTACCTGCGATCAGTGGGCGGCTGAGGGCCGATGCATCCCCCCCAGAGCCTATCCCCCCCTAACGCTGCCCATTGGCGTTCGGATCATAACTCGGCCCTCCACCGGCCGTTCGGAACGATCTGGGCACCACCGGAACGGAACGCCCCGGGCGAGGCGCAGCCACTGGAAAGCACCCCGAGGCTGGAAAGCCGGCGAGCACCGACGGGAACTTCCGAAAACCTCACCAACCTCGAAAGATTCCAAGATTCCGTCCCCCCCAGATCCAAATGGCCGTCGTGCCATAATTCGGGCCCCAGGCGGCCGTTCAGGACGACTCTGGCACCCCTGGAACGCTCTCGGCACTGCGCAGCCGATGATAACCACCCCGGGGCCCCGACATACCTCGTACAACTGTAGGAAAACAAAAAAAATGAGCCCATCCCCCCCTGACCTGAGCATTCTCTTGGGGTGGAGGGCTCGTTGTGACATCCGTATGGGCTTGTACACTTCGAAAACCAATCCGTTTTACGCATCACCTTTTGCAGATTCAAGCCTCGGAAATCTATCGGAACGGCACATCCGATTTCACCCCAGGAAAATGCTCGGCTGACGCTGTCCCCGATCGTCGCGGCAAGAGCCCGTTTCCTCACCACGACCGGCGCCGCGCCGTCTCCCTCGGCAGCCCCCGGCCAGAGCACCGGCGCACCGGCGCTGGCGCGAGGCCGGCGCCGCGCGGGGGGGGCCGCGCCGCCTGGGCGGGGTCGTCGACTGCATCGCCCGCCGCCGTCGCCCAGGAGGGGGCGGAGGAGCGGAGGGCGGAGGACGAAGCTCGCTGCCCAGCGCCGCTCGCCGCCTCCCTCCTCCCTCCTCCCTCCTCCCCCCTCCCTCCCCCCTCCCTCCCTCCCCCCTCCTCCCCCCTCCCTCCTCCCTCCTCCCCCTCCCTCCTCCCCCGCCGCCGCTGCCGCGTCTCGGCGCGCCGCCGCCCGCGGGGGTCCTTCGGCGGCGCGGCGGCCGCCGGCAGCACGGCGGCCGAGGGCACGCCGACGGCGCAGAGGCTGAACTCCCAGCCGCGCCGGGCGGGCCTCGGAAGACGGCCCGAAGGCCGGGGGGCAGCTTGAGAGCGTTTTTTCTTGCGTTTGTATGTTTTGTGTGTCTTACTGTCTTTTTCGCCGTTCTAAGATTGGTCGCAACGATCCAGGCTCGGCTCGAGAACCGAAGTTAAGCGGCGCGCACAGTGCTGCTGTGCCCCTTTGGGAAATCCACGTCCTGACCAGAACGCCCATCTGGAAAGGCATGGGCATCCACCGCCGCCGCCGATGCACGTCACGCCAATCCTGGGACCAGGGATCGGTGGACACGCCCGCCTGGCCGGTCAGTAAGGGGTCATCCACCGATCTTCGGCCCGCTGATCGGCATTGCACGCCACAACTGTGTGCTTGGGCGGCTTTCCCCCGGGAGGCGTGCAAAAATTGAGTTCCCGACGTCGGCCACTGACTCACCGTGCTGTCATCAAGATCATATTTATCCCTCGGCGGCAACACGCGTTATCTGAAAAAGGCGAGGGGGGCGACGGCCACGGCGGCCAGCGTGCGCCCCCGAAGATTTGCCTGCCGCGCCGGCGCAACGCAGGTAACGACAACGCCCGCGTGTACCACAGCCGCCTTGGGGGAGTTCTCTGGCCACCCCCAGGCTGCATCGGAGCGCTCTTGAGCAGTCTCGTAGCTTTCGTGGGATTGTGGGAGGCGTATTTGGCCAATTTGGCGGCCTCTTGCGGGACCCGTAGGACGCCCAGCGGTTCCGGCAACCTCGACACACACACAATATATAAATATATATATACATATATATACACATTTCGCCCCCCCCCCGCCCCCCCCCCCCCCACCCCCCCCCCCACCACCCCCCACCCCCCCCACCCCACCCCACCCCCAGCACCCCCAAACCACCGAAACCACACAATCTTCACTGATCGTTTTGCTCCTCGTCGCTCTCCTCCTCCTCCTCCTCCTCCCCCCCCTCCCCCCCCTCGAAACCTGCGAAAAGCACCGAAAACCGCTGGACCCCCCCCCCAAAAAAAAATAACGATTTCGGGAGAAACCTTTGCCCCCCCCCCCCAAAGGTGCACCGAAAGCATTGTTTTTTTTTTTTTGTTTTTTGTTTTTGGGTTTTTCTCCGGCGTTTGTCGTTGACATCCTCCTCCCCCCCGCCCCTCTCCGCCCCCCTCTCCTCCCCCTCCTCCTCCTCCTCCTCCCCCTCCTCCTCCCCCTCCCCCTCCTCCTCCTCCTCCTCCTCCTCCTCCTCCTCCTCCTCCTCCTCCTCCTCCTGTCGCAGTCGCTGTTCTGCTATATTTTCTGGACGGCGCTCTGCGTCATCGCGCAAGCCCTTCGGGCGGGTGGTCGGCGTCGACCGTTTGGCGGGCAAGACGGCTTACAAAACAATAGCGGTTCATACGTGCACGCACGCGTCCCGCCGACGGCCCTCGGCGCCGACTGCGCAGCGCTCAATGCGCGCTCGCAGGGCGCGGCCGCCCGCTCACTCGGCATCGCTGGGGGGCGCCGCCGCCGGCCCCGAGGCCTGATCGCCCTGTTCAATCAGGCGCCCGAGCTCGGCCCAGGGTGCCGTCGTTGTCGTCGTCGCCGTCGACGGCGATCGTCTCCCTGTGGGCCGAAGCGACGATAGAAGCGAATATCGCCTCTTGCTCCGCGGCGACCACTCCCGACAGCGGACCTCCGCATCCCACCATGAGCCTCCTCGCCCTCTTCACTGGCGGAGGCGAGCACAAGTCCTTGAAGGCGCCGCGGTGCGCCCTGGCGAGGCTCTTGAAAATGGCGATCTGCTCGTCCTGGTCCTCCTTCGTCAGTTCCCCGCGACGTCCCACGATGTCAGGCTGCGCGGCGATTGCGGCGGGGGCGCTCTCCTCTGGCCCATCCACGCCGCCGCCGAGACCGAACGCGTCGTCCTCACATGGTGCGTCTGCCGCGTCGTCGGGGCGAGACGCCGAAGCGGCCGCGGCTGGTGCGTCTGCCGCGCCATCGGAACGAGACGCCGAAGCGGCCGCGGGGGCGGACGATGCGCTTGCCACCGCGCCTGGCCTGACGAACCCCGAAATGCTGCCGACCGACAAGGGAGACCGCGCGTCCAGGGTCATCACCAAACATCGGGGCAACGTGGACCGTCGCAACCGCGGGCACGTCACGGCCCTCCACCAGACTGCTCATGTAGCCGATAGACCATTCCATCTTGTCGGCATAGTCTGAAGGGAGCGGGCGGACAGCGGGCGACGACGTGTCCCGCACCTCGCTGGCGAAGAGGTCGGGGGCTCTGGGGTTGGGCCACGGCATGGACTCGGCGCCGCCCTCCAGATCTGCGGACGCCACGCGCCAGTGCCCTCCGAGGTCCGTGACCACGACGAAGTGCGACCTGGCGAGGATGGCATTGAAGTCCTCCTCGGTCTTCACCTCCTGGAGAGACGGGGCGACGATCTCCTTGAAGCGGTCCACGTCGTACTTGTTGCGCGTCGCGGCATCCGACGCCGCCCCCTCCGCGTCGCGGTCGGAAGGGTTTGCAGCGGCTTGCCTACACGACCCTCGCTCGAAACCGCAGACGCCCCACCGAGCCCACAGCAGAGCATCCTCCTCTATGGGTTTGAGGAAAGCCTTGAGAACGCCAGCCGTTACCTTCAGACCGTCACGCGCTGGCCCGACCACCACCACCGCGATTCCCAAGCGGGAGAGGGTCGCAAAGGTTCGCTTCGATCGGGGCCTCCCCGGCGATAGGAACCGCACTCCCCCCCCCCAGGAAAGAGCGGGCAGTGAGGGCAGGGGCCACGCGTGACCACCGAACCTTCTGCAGGAAACCGTCGTCGAAAATCCCAGGAAGGACGTCCGTCGTCGGCTCTCCCTTGAAGAAATCCATCTGCTTGGCAATGAGAAAGGCGACGTCGTCGGCGGACCCCTTCTTCTGGATGCTGCACGCCGAGTGCGTCCAGGCCAAAGTCTTAGAGCCGCTGCCCTTGCCGACCCTGGACTTCCCGATCCACGAAACCCCGTGCAAATGGAGGGTGCCAATCATGAACTTGAGGGCGCCGTTGAGAAACCAGCCAGCGAAATCCTTCACCGTCAAACTCCATCGCGTGATCGGCTCGGCGTTTGCCCTCCCTTTCTGGTGATTGCGCAAAGCGGTATCCACCTTGGCGGCTGGCCAACCGAAAATGTTCGACCCCTCTCTATTCACCTCCGCGTCGGCCCACTCCATGAGCTGGTTCCTGTTGTTACTGCGAAGGCCGTGCTCACGGATGAACGCGTACCCCTGCGCGCTTATCATGCTCTAGCGGCTGCTTCCGCTCGTGCTGCGGCTTGATCGTGTAGTACCTTACGGCGGAGGCCTTGGATAATAATAACTTCGATCAGGAGGAGGAGAGATAATATAAGGAGATAAGGAGGTAAGGATGAGGAGAGCAGGAAGATGAGAAGGAAGACGAAGATGAGGAGGATGCACCCCCCCTCCCCAGTCCGTCGTTTGGGGGTGATGGGATATATATATATATATATATATATATATTATATATATATATATAATATACATACACAAATATATATACACATACATACAACATGCATACATATTACAAAAAAAGAAAAAAAAAAAAAAAAAAAAAAAAAAAAAAAAAAAAAAAAAAAAAAAAAAAAAAAAAACAAAAAAAAAAAAAAAAAAAAAAAAAAAAAAAAAAAAAAAAAAAAAAAAAAAAAAAAAAAAAACTGCATTGGCGATTCGCGCCATGCGCCTTGTTCCGGACGCTTCCCCAACAATATCAAGAATTCATCGCCTGCTTCAGCAGAGGGAGGCCTCGAGGCCTGGACGGGCGATCGGTTCATTTTTGCTGATGTCCCTGGTGCCTGCTGACATCGCGTTCGCCCGATGCGCTTGCACAATTGTCCGCAGGAGTCGGGAAGGAATGATGATTATTTCACGCGCGAAGGTGCTGGCAAACGACGAAGCATCAAACTGTTTCGATGGCCTTTGTCCATGAAAGGGGAACGGGAAGGGAGCAGGGATGAGGGGGGCTGAATCGGCGGAAGGGGGGAGGAGGGGAGGAAGAAACGGGGAGAAGGTCCAGAGGAAGGAGCAGGCGAATGCGGATGGCCATCGGATGCCACGAACGTGGAGATCGACGAAGAAGGCAGTGGGGGGAAGGGAGAGAGAGAGAGAGAAAGAGAGAGAGAGAGGGCGATAGAGGTACAAGAAAAACAGGCGGGTTGGCGTGAGCGCAGGGAGCGCACGCAGAACGCCATCTGGGCGTTTTTGAAGCTCTTTTGGGCCGTCCTGCGGTCCTCTAGGGCCGTCCTGGGGCCTTTTTGGGCCGCCTTGGGGAGCTGGATCCTCCAGAGGTCTCCTGAAGCCATCTGGGGGCCTCCAATGGCCTTCCTGGGGGTCTCCCTTGGCTTTCGTGGGTCTCTCTTGGGAGCCTTCTGGAGGCATCTTGGGCTTCCTGTGGGCAGTCTCGGGACTCTCTGGGCCAGTTCTGGGGCCCTCTTGGGCCGTCTTGAACCCCTCTGGGGGGCCTCTGGGCCGTCTTGGGGCGATGTCGGAGGCCCATGGGGCAGTCCTGGACGCTCTGAAAACTCAAAATGCGGATACGAATGGGACGATGTTTGCATTTTCGGGGCTCTCTTAACGGCCTGTTGGGCCATCTTGGGGGCCTCGTGGGCCGTCTTCGGACCATCGAGGTTCCTCGTGGAGCGCTCTTGTGCTGTACTGGGTCTCTCTTGCGCCTCTCCGATGACCCCATCGCTTGGAGTCTGCTCGCGAGGCCCGGCAGCGCGCCCTGGGAGGCCCGAAGGGCCAACGGACATTTTCCAGGGGCGTCCTGGGGGCCGCCGAGACATCCGAGAGGCCGTCCGGGGCGTCCCTGGGGGGGGCCGGTTCAGGGGGGGAGTCCGGGTAATAGAAATACAAGAATCCGCCGACCCTGTCGGCGTGTGCGAGGGGCTTCCTCGTCCGTTCCTCGCCGCCCCCCCTTCTTCCTTCCCCAATTTTTCTTTCTTTTTGGGCCGTACCCTCCTGCCGTCATGCCGTTGTCGATTCGAAGGGAAGCCCCTTCCCTTTGATCCCTTCCCCGGGGGGGGGGGGGTCCCGCCCAGGGGAAGGGGGGAGGGTGGGGGGGTGGGTGGGGGGGCAGATTCGTTTTTCCTCGGGCGGCCTCGAAACCTCGAAAACACTCCAAATGAGGTCCGAATGCCCAAGATGGCCCCCGAGACGGCCCAAGAGTGCCCCGAGTCGCCCAAAGATCGGCCGAAGACGCCCAAGATAGCCCCAAGACCGTCCAAGAAGCCTCCAAGACGTCCCAGGCCCCCTCCAGAAGCACCCCCACGAAGGGCCCAAGAGGCCACACTCATTACTTTTCCATCGGAAACTTACATTTCTAGCATATACGACGTTTCGGCCTTCACGGCGTCACAGACAGCTTCGTCTTCAGGGTCGGCGGCACCGGCCGTAAGGCCTTCGCAATAGAAATACATGCATGCATGCATACATACACATGGATAAATATACATACATAGTTACATACAAATATACGCACATATAACTGTATATAGATATGTATACATATGTACACTAGAACCACGCGCGCGCTTCGCGCGCGCTTAGGTTCTAGCTAGGAGGCGAGCTTGAGCTTGAGTCAACGAAAGTCGCAGGGAAGGGGGCAGGGGGAAAAAGGCCAGAGAGCGCTGAAGGATACAAATACTGGAACCCTCTTGTGATTTTGTGGGGGGCCTCGTCCGGCCGCTCGCTGGGAGTTTGACGTAGCTTCTCGGGAGCCTCTGAACCTGTCGGGGGCCTCCTGGAAGCAGGTTCGAAGCATTTTGGGGGCCGATTTGGGGCTTCTCGGGGCCTCCTTTGGGCCTCTTGGGGGTCTCCTGGGGCCTCTTGAGGGGCCTCCTTGGGGCCTCCTGGCGGCCTCTTGGGGCGGAAGGCTCGAGCTTGCGGTTCGTGGTCCCCCTCTGGGCCCCCTCTTGGGCCCGTTTGGGGCCCTCTTGGGCCATCTTAGGCGCCTCTTGGGCCGTCTTGGGGCCCTCTTGGGCTGTCCTGGGCCCTCTTGGAAGCTTCTTGGGCCGTCTTGGGGCGGTCTTGGAGGCCTCTTGGGCCGTCTTGGACGCGGTGAAAGCCCAAGATGCGAACATGCGAAAAATATACGTTTTCCCATAGGAATGGCACGATTTTTGTTTCTTGGACCTCTCTTGGGGTGCCTCTCGGAACGTCTTGGGCTGATTTTGGAAGCCTTTTGGCGCCTTGGGTGGCGTTTTGGCGCCTCCTGGGATATGTTGGGCCGGAAGCTCGGAATTCGAGAGTGGCTTTCTCCTTCTGGGACCCCTCTCGAAGTCGTCTTGGGGTTCTCTTGGGCCGTCTTGGGGCCGTCCTGAGCCACTCGTGCGCAGCCTTGGAGCGCTCCCGGAGGCCTCCTAGGCCGTCTTGGAGGCCTCTTGGGCCGTCTTGGACGCGGTGAAAGCCCAAGATGCGAACATGCGAAAAATATACGTTTTCCCATAGGAATGGCACGATTTTTGTTTCTTGGACCTCTCTTGGGGTGCCTCTCGGAACGTCTTGGGGTGCTTTTGGGAGCCTTTTGGCGCCTCTTGGCGGCATTTTGGCGCCTCCTGGAGCCTCTTGGGCCGGAAGCTCGGAATTCGAGGTTGGCTTTCTCCGTCTGGGACCCCTCTCGAACTCGTCTTGGGGCTCTCTTCGGCCGTCTTGGGGCCGTCCTGGGACACTCGTGCGCAGCCTTGGAGCGCTCCCAGAGGCCTCGTAGACCGTCTTGGGCGCCTCTTGGGCCGTCTTGGACGCAGTGAAAACCCAAGAGGCGAACATGCGAAACATATACGTTTTCCCATAGGAATGGCACGATTTTTGCTTCTTGGGCCTCTCTTGGGCTGCCTCTCGGAGCGTCTTGGAGGCTTCTGGGACCTTCTTGGTGTCATGACAGGCGTCTTGGAAGGCATCTGGAGCCATCGGAGCGCGTTTCGAAGCCGCCTGCGAACGATCTTGGACGGCGTCCGGCGGTCCGACGAGCCTCCGGGCCCCCCGGAGCCAACATTTGTGGTCGGGGTCCCGGCCCCGGGCCCCCGGACCCGGTGCGCCGTTATATGTATATGTAAATGAACACAGTGCACAGGCTCACCCTAGCACATACGCGCACCATGGCGCCACATCACCTGTGAAAATACCATAGCGCCTCTGTGCATCTCAGCACCCGCGTGCGCAACAGCGCCATTGCACACCACAATGCCTGCGTGCACTAGATAGTTGTTGTACACCACGGCGACTGCGCACATCACAACAGCCGTGTGCACCACACCGTGGCCGTACACCAGTGCCTGCGTGCACCAGAGCGCTTGTGCGCACCACATTACAGCGCCTGTCGAGAACACAGCAATTGCATAAAACACCTTGCAAAAAATGTGTGTGTCGAGGACGACGAGGGAAGGAACGCTACGACGACGACAACGACGACGACAAGGAAAACGACTACAACGACGACGACGACGACGACGACGACGACGACGACGACCACGATGACGACGACGAAGACGACGACGACGACGACGACGTGGACGACGACCACGACGACCACGACGACGACCACGACGACGACGACCACGACGACGACGACGACGACAATGCCTGTGCACCTCCAGGAGCCTCTGGGCCTCGTCGGTCGTCGTCGTCCTCCTCCTCCTCCTCCTCCTTCTCGTCTTCATCCTCCTCCTCCTCCTCCTCCTCCTCCTCCTCCTCCTTCTCGTCCTCCTCACCTCCTCCTCCTCCTCCTCCTCATCATCATCATCCTTTTGCTGCTCATCCTCCTCTTCCTCCTCCTCATGAAAATGCCTAGAAGATCCACTGGAAGATTCACGCCTGAGGCCAGTTCCCAGGCGATGCTGTGACGGGAGAGAGAAGGGGGTCTGGGGGTAGCACGTGCTGTCCCCAGAGCCTATGAAAGAACAGTCACACAAGCAACGTCGTGAACACAAGGAACGAAGCGGCTACTTCTGGCAGCGGCTCGCCTCGGCCCCGAATGAGTTCCGTGACCGTAGACCTGGGGAGCGACCTCTGGCCGGAGCCCTCCTGGGAACGGTGCTCACCTCGGCGTCTTGACCGCATCAGCTCGGCAGTGTGCCAGGGGAGCTGCAGCCCCGCTCCGCGCTCCGCCGGGGTCCCCACCCGCTCCCCTCGGCGCGCGCGGGCGGCGGGCGGCGCCCCGCGAGGCCTGGCCAGGCTCAGCAGGAGGGGCCCGCCCCCCGGCATCCGGCAGCTCGCCAGCGGCATCG